AGATGCATGGAGTTTCGAGCATGAGCCCACGCATTCTACTTACTTTTTTGGAACCCCGCACTCTGTGTTGCAACGCCACACACACTGTCATAACGAAATCGTAGGCGCATGAGAGAAACTTCAGATGTGGTCCTGCGTAGCCCTACCTCTGCAGGCTCACCACTCTGGACGTCTGGCGTCCGATCGCGCGAGAAAAAATTCCTGCCCCAGCTGCTGTAGTCTAGCTTTCGTGCGCGCTGCTCTCAAGTACTAGGATCCGATCCCCACTCGTAACGAGATTTAAGGAGTATTCCTTAATTAGGCTCTGGGACTCCATGGATCCACCAGCTACACGCATCCCCAAGTCCCGCCACTCGCCTTGAGATATCGCCAAATGTGCCTCTATACCCCTAGACACCCTAAACCGTGTAAAGGGACCTACTCAAGCAGGGCTTCAGCCACCTTAAACCCTGAACCTAAAACCTTAACACCTAAACCTCAAACCTTAATCCCTGAACCTTAAACCTCGAGCCCCAAACCCTTAAAGCTTGACCCATCTGCTGCAAAGGCAGATGTGGCCCGAACCTTCCCAAACAACAAGGAGTTCCAGGCTGGCGCATGAATTTTATTTTTTGGGGTTTAGGATTTAGGGTTTAGGATCTAGGGTTTAGGTTTAGGATTTAGGGTTTAGGTTTTTAGGATTTAGGGGTCAGGTTTCGGGGGGGGGGAGTTTTTTCATCAGTCCGGTAGAGTCCAGAATTTCGGTCTCCAATGTATTAGAGCATCCTATATGCATATTATAAACTGGCTGTGAATCAGAGAGGTGGCACCATACTAAAGAGCGATAACTAAGCTGGGATACACATGTGATAACCTGCGATGTAGGGGTGTGCAGGTATGTAGAGGAATGACAGACAATGGGAATTACCATATTAGGTAGGGATGTAGGGGTTTTGAGTCTAGGCCTAGCGTTAAACAACCTCCCGCCGTCCCCCAAGTCTGAATTGTTCCTCTGGTGTACGCAGGCGCTTGTAAGATTTAGGGGAAGGGATGACGAGGTAAAGTGTTCAGATTTCGGCGAGTGTGGAGTTTAGGAGGAGTATTGGTGAGTGGGCATATGGCTTGTCCACATAGGAAGATGGGGCCTGGGGTTCAAGAAGTTCAGAAAACACTTCGAAGTTCCGGGCTTTGTGCTTGGGACCGAGATGTATGCTTTGGGGTAGGCCCTCCAAGCTGACGAACCCGAGTCTGCGAGACAGAGAGAGAGGGGTAGGCCCTCCACAACCGGATAGGGTTTAAGGTTTAGGGTTTAGGGTAGCCCAGTGGGCTATAGGAGGACTTCCTGGGATGTGAGCGAATGATCTTCCTCTCCCACATGACCTTGCTTTGCGGATCCTTTTTGTGATACAGAGGCCTGAATCATTTCCCCTTATGTGCCTCATACAAATATGGCATGCTATACCATCCTAAAACCCAATACCAAGTACTTAGGCCCGACATTACTCTGTGTTATGCGGAAGGACTCTGGCGGCCCAGACAACCTACGACAGGCCCTGCGGGCATCAGTTTCTTTCAGATATTGGTGCTATATTTGGGTTTTATAGGGACAATGGAAAAGAAAATGGAAACTACTGTTTAGGGTTTATGGAGGGTTGTGGGTGTTGACCTTCATATTGGATTATTTCATGTGGGGTGGTTATTCTTAATCACGGGCCCTGTTGAGGTACCGAAGTAGTAGGAGACACATCTTAGAGGGTGCCGACTAGGGACCCAAATTCGGAACAATTCTCCTTTTTTCGGATTGGATCTGGGGGGCTGTCACTGCTACAAAATGCAGTGCTGCATGCTCTTTCTTGGCTGCCGCCTGTTGATCGCATATCTTGACCGTAAGCCCTAAACCTCAGCATGCCAGCAGTAGGCGGGGGGCTTACGCAGAAAGTGCCATAGCTTGGTAAGCCCTTGGAATGCTTAAGACTACTTTTGTCCGACCCCATCAAAACCAGTAAATTTCCTGGG